CTACGAAGTATCTTCGGACCCCGTTGATGGCGGAGATCGGCGGTTCACCGGTGTATTTTGGGCATTTGGGCCATGTATTGAGGGGTTTCGATATTGTCGTCCTCTTCTTAGCATTGATGGCACCCACTTATACGGCAAGTACAAAGGAGTTTTGCTTGTTGCCACCGGAGTTGATGCGGATGGCGGTTTGTTTCCTTTGGCGTTTGCAGTGGTTGATATTGAAAACACAGAGAATTGGGCGTGGTTTTTTGCATGCATTAGATATCATATCCCTAGTGTGGGTGCGCGGCCGATTACATTCATATATGATAGGATGAAAGGAATTCCAAGAGCACTCCAACGTCATTTCCCAGAGCCACATGCACATCGTTATTGTTTGCGACATATTAGGGACAACTTCAAGAAGAAATTTGGAAACGGTCAGGTTCAAGATCTTCTTTGGCAAGCCGGATGTGCAACAGAAAAATTAGTTTATGACCAAATACGAGAGAGGATTAAGTTTATCTCCCGAGCTGCACATGATTGGATCGAAACTAGTTTGGGACCACACAATGTTGATAAGTGGGCTTTATGTGAAGATGGCGGGAGACGGTTCTATATGATGACTACGAACGCTTCAGAGAGTTTCAATTGCGTGCTCAGGGGAGCACGCGGTATGCCAATATAGTCACTAGTTGCTAAAACATTCTACAGACTTAATAACTTCTTTCTACGACGTCACAAACTTGGTGAAAATATCCGCTCGGAGCTCACACCAAAAAATGATGAAATGTTAGCGGCTCGGATTGTACAAGCTCGATCCTTTCATGTCGTAAGATACAGTTTTAATGAATGAGAAGTCATTGAGGGAATATCACATAGAGAAAATCGCTCTTATAAAGTGAACATGTTAGCGGATCACTCGTGTACGTGCACTTGCAACGTACCGCAATTACAATGGATTCCTTGTTCACATGTTGTCGCGGCTTGTTCTGATCTACAAGGTGGTGCGAGGATTTCACACTATGAGTTCGTCGAGGCTTGGTATTCTACTTACAACTATCAACAAACATACAAAGAGTGTTTTCGTCCACCATATGATAGTCGATATTGGACACAAGACGAGCCACTGATATTGCCTCCTTTGTATAAAAGGTCGGCGGGGCGCCCTCGTTCCGTACGAATTAGAAATTGTATGGATGATGGTTGTGAAGGAGTTAGGAGGAGAAATAAGTGTAGTAGATGCGATCAACCGGGCCATAAGAAAAATAATTGTCCAGTTAGGATTAGGCGTTGATGTTGTAATTTGTAGCGGTTTCGATCTGTGTTTTCTTCCGTATGTCATTTGTGATTGTTAAATGCTAGGGGTTTCGTTCTGTGTTTGTTTCTGTGTGTCATTTGTGATTGTAATTTGTAGCGGTTTCGTGAGTTGTTTGTTTCTGTATCTCATTTGTTATGGTAATTTGTATCGTTTCGTACTATGTTATATAAATTTAATGTTTGGTTTCAAGTTATTGCTTTCTTCACGTTGCGCATTCGTTTGTTGTTTATATATAACTAGATGAGTATTTTAACAAAAAGATCTAACACATTGAGCATTGTCTTCTAATATAATTCTCAGTTATATTCATTATGGATCCGGGACCGAGACACCCCGATGTATTGACCCTCCAGGCGAGCCACGTTTCAGATTATATTGGCTCAGGACAGGTAAAACATCTTTTGTATATGCTAGTTAGCATTGGCACTAATTTTAATTTTTCGCATTGTACTTAATCAATTCTTTTTGACGTGCAGCCCGTACCTGATATCACCATGATCGAGCATTCCCAGAGCCATTCAGCTTGGGTCATTGAGGATGAGAGAGTTCTAGCGCTGATCTCTCAGGCTGGTTTTCGGGAGTGTTCGACGGTTCGATATATCAGGCTTGATTGACCGCTTATCACTGCTTTGATTGAGAGATGGAGGCCAGAGACCAACACCTTTCACATGCATATAGGGGAGTGCACCATCACTTTACAGGACGTGACCGTCATACTTGGGCTCCGGATCGATGGGCCGCCAGTTACGGGCACCGATGATCATAGTTGGCCGGAGGTATGTGCCCGGCTTCTTGGACAGGTTCCGGACTTGAGGAGTGGTGCGATGAAGCTATCGTGGCTTCGTCAGACATTTCAGGGCGACATACCAAAGGATGCCAGTAATGAGACGCTTCAGTTCCATGCTCAGGCTTACATATTGCACATGATAGGGTGCGTGCTTTTTCCTGATGCGAGCAAGACTCTTATACATGCACGATGGCTGCCGTTGCTAGAGGATTTTGACGTATACCGCGCACTGTCGTGGGGGCAATGCGGTGTTGGCATACTTGTATCGAGAACTGAGTAGAGTATCCCTGATGCAGAATAAAGAATTCAAGGGATGCTGCACATTGATATAGATTTGGTCATGGGAGCGCATTCATATTGGACGCCCTACTTTACTTGTGCACCGTGACCTACAGGGGCAGTTTCCTTTGGCGTACAGGTATAATTGTACACACAAATTTTATTCGCACTGAATTTGTACTTATATATTCTCTATTCTGCATATAGGTATAACGTACGGTACGCTAAGTACCGATCAGCGACGCGCCATCGTGAGTTTTACCGAAATGAGCTTGATGGCCTCCAACACGAACATGTAAATATAAATCTCAAGTCGTTATGAATATTATAGTTTTGTTGTTGATACTGATAAATTTTTTATTTTATTTCAGTTCAAGTGGAGACCCTATACACCGCCGGAGCTGGATATGCATTCTCTTGCACCCATCTGCCGAGATAGTCCTGACTTGTGGAGAGCGAGAGTTCCATTGATTTGTTGGGAGATCGTGGAGATGCATGTCCCTGACCGTATGCTACGACAGTTTACGCTCTCTCAACATGTACCAGAGCCTGTTGAGCAGATCTCTCGTCAGCGGTGACCTACTTTGCACCATAACGACTGGGCCGTAGTCCGTGCGGCCTACATAGACAGGTGGGCTCATAGCTGGGATTTCATCCAGGATACGAGGCCCACGGCTGTTGACTATACCGCGTATATGGGTTGGTATTGGGATATCACACGTAGATGGATCACACGTGACCCACATCCCTTAGCTGGACACATGCCACGGCCACCGACAGACAGTTACATCCCTAGTGGGATGAACGAGAGAGATTACGTAAGTTTCTAAGCTAAATTATAATATTTTTTTCTTGAGTTGGTACTTAATAAATTATTTACCTCACAGGTCCATGCTTTGGATAGCATTCAGGCTGATATTGATGCGACCGTGCCTGAGATTCAGGATCAGGTGGCGTTAGGGCTCCTCGGCAGGATCAAGAAGACCATAGCACAGGTGTTTCATAAGACTCACGTCGACGAGTTCGCAGGCCGTGAGGACAGGTCTCGATCATTTGGGCAAGCGTACACTCGGCGCCGACGGCCACGTGACGATGACGGCGGCACTTCGCATGCTGATGGAGCCGGCACTTCGCATGCTGATGGAGCCGGAACTTCACATGCTGATGAAGCCGGCACTTCACATGCTGATGGAGCCGGCACTTCGCAGCCTCACACACAGCCGGATACTCAGATAGTCGAGGCTCATCAGCGCGGGGGGCGGGGAAGAGCGAGGGGGAGGGGGAAGAGAGGGAGAGGAAGGAGAGGAGCTATATTGAGTTGTATTTGAACTTATTTTGTTAAAATTTGTAAATTGTATGAATTTTCAAATACTATACTTTTATGGATCAATTATAGCTCGATATGTGATCTTTTTGCGTATTGTTTGATTCGTGCGTGTTTAAATAATATATATATTGCAGTAATTATTGTCAACAGGTAAATAGTTGTATATATGAGTTAAATAGGTAGACGTATGCATGTTGTGCATGTTTTTGCAAAACCTGCAACTTCACGGGAGTTGAACTCCCGTGAAGTTGCAGTGTAAATTTCCCAGAGAGCGATTCTCTGGGAAATTTGGCCTGTAACTCCACGAGAGTTCAACTCCCGTGGAGTTTTAACAATACAACAAACTCCACGGGAGTTGAACTCCCGTGGAGTTTAATGAGGGAAATAAATTTTACGGGAGTTCAACTCCCGTGAAGTTTAAAAACGTAGTAAACTTCACGGGAGTTGAACTCCCGTGAAGTTTCGTAAAGTTTTTTAGAAAAACCGACCTGGTTTCAGCGACAGTGCTGAAACCAGGTCGGTTTCTCTAAATAAGTTAGAAACGGGTCGTTTTTTGCAATTAAAACATCAAATGGGTTGGTTTTGAAAATTTGTCCATAAGAAGAATGAATCTCCTCCTCCTAAAATTTTAGCCGTTAGATCTTACCATTAATGCTTTGAGACTAAAAACAATAAATAAAACATAATTGGTGATGTCCGCATAATCTTTAGATAGCTCATAAAATCTATCATAACTGATTAGGCTAATTAGTTTTTCTCTCTCTTCCGTAAATCTCTTTTTATTCTAATTACTTCCTAATTAACTAAAACAGTCTGCTGATCAGTGTGAGATCAGACCCAAAAGTATATAGAATATAAACTGCCAAGTAAAATATAATATATGTGCATTTATGTTGCACTGGAACATGTGCATTTCCATTTAAGCCCCCCATTCATGAGACACAGATATGCGCAATGCCTTTATTTGATCCCTATATGACATTTCCTTTTCATAATATTCTACTTACACGAGGACGAAAAGATTATCAAGAACTGACAATTTCCTTCAACATAAGCTTCACTCAGGAACATATTCCGCTGATCAGCGTGAAGAAGAAAGAGACAGTAGTTCACTAATACAAGATATTACATAAGAAATCAAACGCCTTCGGAAGAAGATAATCTAGTTGTTTACCACCTTATCTTTCCCAAAAAAAAAAAAAACACACTCGCGCGCGATTTAACTCTAATTTTGATCATTCTTAGAGCGTTGGTTTACCCACTTAAGCCACAATACGCACCAGCAGAAAGAATAATTAAGAAACATATACCAAAATCATATGTCATTGCTATTGCCCAAAATCTAAGAAAGGTGCAAGATTTATTTGACAAGTAACGGTATACATACAAGTATGCAAGATAAATAATCACAAGTACAAGCCGAAGCCCTCCTACTAAGCTTTGTAGCACGCCTCCCCATCGCACAATCATCATAAAGAGAAGCCAAATCTCTCTTACTAAGCTTTGTAACACACATCCCCGTCACAAACATAACCTTCCTTCTTCACCTCATGATCATCAGCATCACCATCATCCTTCCCTTTATCCTCCTTACTAAGAGCACAATTGGGATGGAGATCAAAATCGCACTCGTCACAATAGAAGGACCATCCACTTCCTACCTCTTCGCAACCATCACAAGTGTATCCTCTACGTTTGGCTCGAACAAGCTCATGCTCTTTGTGAAGAGGATGCTTCAGCTTCTCAGGCCATTGTTTAGCCGCCTCCTCTATCTCTGCCTCTAGTTCCTTTAGACGCTCCTCAGTGAAGGGATAGGCATCTGCTCCTTGTTCCATTATCATATCTCTGGCCTCCTGCGTCACTGTCTTTCCTGTTGGCCCAATTGCCATGCTAAGTGATTTCTTTCTATCATCGCCAAAAGGTAGAGCGAGCCATGGCATTAATGAGTAGTAGTCATCAAAAGACTTCTGGTCTCGGTCACTGGATATGAAGATAAGTTCAAAATTTTGGTCCTTGGCTTTGATCTTGTTGTAGGTCTCAGTGAGTGTTGGTAAAAAGGCACGACAAGGGGGGCACCAATAAGCAGAGAAGTAGAGGAGGATGTTCTTGCCTACAAGTTCTGAGACAGGGACCTTTTCACAATAACCAACAAATATAAATTACTTTTATGGCTTTTGAGCTTAATAAATAAATTGTAAATGGCAAAAATATTAGATCACGTGAGGAACATAAAGCGGTCGCAAATTTGGGAGTAAGGAGTAACCCAGGTTGGGAATGATTTGGATTGAGGGTAAATGTAAAAATTCTGATAGTAAGTGCAGTGTGAAAGTATGGACCAGACCGCTTTTAAGTTTGAATACCATCAACCATACACATTATACAATACAGATCTACATTTACTCACAAAATTGGAATATCTAATACAATAGGGTTGTGTGATAAATGAGGTTCTCTTTCATTCAGCAGTATTATTATCAGATTCTTATTTAAAAAGTCTCACCGCTGGGGTCACAATTAACCATGAACAGTCTAAGCTTCTGCTATATATTCTTAAAGCTGCGATTGTGTTTATCTAATGCTTTCTGGTAGCTAAATAGTTCAGCATTTTGCATACCGTTTTCAGAGACATCCTCATAGGCATTAACATCGATGGTATAAAAGTTAATTCAGAAGTTTACAAAAGGCAGTGTATGGAGACACGGCAATCTGCACACACATAGCGGGCATCTGCGCTCCTATTAATAGTAGAAAAAGGATTCTAATATCAACTTTTCAACCACTGGATTGCTTGAACATTCGTGCTAAAAAAGCTATTTATAGTTACTTCCCAATTTTTAAGACACTGCATAATTTTACTAGTTATTTTAGCTCGACTCTCCAAGCAATCCTAGGGTTAAAAGTTGATAGTAGAACCCTTGTACTGCTATCAGTAGCCTGCTGCACTCTCCACACACATATGCATACAACACACACATTATTGAAATTAATAATTTATAAGAGATCAATATTGTTTTTCAATTCACATGTTATTATGAGAATTAAATTCCTATTACACCTTTATTTTTCTTTTATTATGAAGATTATAGATTAGAAAACGGCTTGCTTTTTAACATGATACCCAAAGACCGTTTACAGTCATGGTTATGTACTGGATATGGGCAAAAACAAGTTTCAAGATGTGTGAAACATAGGATATACATCCAGTGCATGTCGAGCGTTTTTTAAAATAAAACATGTAAAACCCTTTTAATCG